CAGTAGTCTATCCTACTGGTGATAAAAGCATCAGCATCTCCGCATTGGCCCGAGAGAGAATGGGGCAGACTCTGGTGATGTTCTTTAGATGATAAAAACCAATTTTTGTGATATTTTTAATGTGTGGGATAAAAGTCAGCTCGGAGTCAAAGATGACACCCAGGTTCTTCACTTGTTCAGATGGATTAAAAGACAGAGATTGTAATTTCAGTGAAAGCTCTGTCTGGGCCTCAGGACCAATGACTAAAACTTCAGTTTGGTCCTGGTTGAGCTGGAGAAAGTTCTCTGCCATCCAGGATTCTATGTCTAAAATACAGTTAAAAAGTGCATCCATTGACCGAGAGTCATCCGGAGACACGGAGATGTACAACTGTGTATCATCAGCATAACTGTGAAAGTTAACCCCGTGTCTCCTGATGACTCTGCCAAGAGGGAGCATATAAAGATTAAAAAGCACTGGGCCTAAAACTGAACCCTGGGGCACACCACATATAATCCCATGGACCCTAGAGGAACAGGTATCCAAACTCACCATGAAAGTCCTGTTTGTGAGGTAGGATGTGAGTCAGACAGGTGGCCAACAGGTGAGACAGACATGTGGCCAACAGGTGAGTCAGACAGGTCGCCAACAGGTGAGACAGACAGGTCGCCAACAAGTGAGACTGACAGGTGGCCAACAGGTGAGTCAGACAGGTGGCCAACAGGTGAGTCAGACAGGTGGCCAACAGGTGAGTCAGACATGTGGCCAACAGGTGAGTCAGACATGTGGCCAACAGGTGAGTCAGACAGGTCGCCAACAGGTGAGACAGACAGGTCGCCAACAGGTGAGACAGACAGGTGGCCAACAGGTGAGTCAGACAGGTGGCCAACAGGTGAGTCAGACAGGTGGCCAACAGCAGAGACAGACAGGTGGCCAACAGGTGAGACAGACAGGTGGCCAACAGGTGAGACAGACAAGTGGCCAACAGGTGAGTCGGACAGGTGGCCAACAGGTGAGTCAGACAGGTGGCCAACAGGTGAGTCAGACAGGTGGCCAACAGCAGAGACAGACAGGTGGCCAACAGGTGAGACAGACAGGTGGCCAACAGGTGAGACAGACAAGTGGCCAACAGGTGAGTCGGACAGGTGGCCAACAGGTGAGTCAGACAGGTGGCCAACAGGTGAGTCAGACAGGTGTCATTGTAGCGATAAGGATTGACTGCATATTTATTAAATGATCTATAAAATATACTTATAAATATGAAATATCAATCAGATTGATCTTTGAATATTTGAATTAATATTCCTTCAGGTTCTTTGACTATTCAGGGAACACACACTTCCCATTAATGCAGACAGGGGCACGTATATAGTTATAAAATGAATGTAATTCTGCTTTCCTAGGGTTAGGGTTAGGGTTAGGGTTTGGAACGATGGGATGGAAGCTAGATGTTTTAGCAAAACCTTGTATCTGAGAGAGCTGGGTTGTAAAATCAGTTTGGCTGTACAGTCGTGGCCAAACGCTTAGAGAATGACATAAAAATGGGTTATTGGAAAAGTTGCTGCTAAAGCTTTTATAACAGCAGTTTGCATCAACTCCAGAATGGTATGAAAACAGGTGAGTCCGACAGGTGGCCGGTGATTGATTGATTTGACTGAAAAGTGATCAGATGAATTGAATAACCCTGCTTTGCCATGGAAATTAACGTAATCCCACAAAACATTTCCACTGCATTTTATTGCTGTCATTAGGACCTGCTGAGATCGACTCAGTAATGGTCTTGTTAACTCAGGTGAGAATGTTGACGAGCACAAGGCTGGAGATCATCATGTCAGGCTGACTGGGTTTGAATGGCAGACTTGACATGTTAAAGGAGGGTGATGCTTGAACTCATTGCTCTTCCATTCGTAACCATGGAGACCTGCAAAAAACGCGTGCGCCATCATTGCGTTGCAAAAAAATGGCTTCACAGACAAGTGTGGCTACTAAGATTGCACCTGAATCAACAATTTATAGGATCATCAGGAACATCAAACGAGGATTCAGCGGCGGGATCGTCTCCTAACGAGCATTCATTGGCGGGATCGTCTCCTAACGAGGATTCAGCTGCGGGATCGTCTCCTAACGAGGATTCAGCTGCGGGATCGTCTCTTAACGAGGATTCAGCGGCGGGATCGTCTCCTAACGAGGATTCAGCGGCGGGATCTTCTCCTAACAAGAATTCAGCGGCGGGATCGTCTCCTAACGAGGATTCAGCGGCGGGATCGTCTCCTAACGAGGATTCAGCTGCAGGATTGTCTCCTAACGAGGATTCAGCTGCAGGATTGTCTCCTAACGAGGATTCAGCTGAGGGATCGTCTCCTAACGAGGATTCAGCTGCAGGATCGTCTCCTAACGAGGATTCAGCTGCGGGATCGTCTCCTAACGAGGATTCAGCTGCGGGATCGTCTCCTAACGAGGATTCAGCTGCAGGATTGTCTCCTAACGAGGATTCAGCTGTGGGATCGTCTCCTAACGAGGATTCAGCTGCGGGATCGTCTCCTAACGAGCATTCAGCGGTGGGATCGTCTCCTAACGAGGATTCAGCTGCAGGATCGTCTCCTAACGAGGATTCAGCTGCAGGATCGTCTCCTAACGAGGATTCAGCTGCAGGATCGTCTCCTAACGAGGATTCAGCTGCAGGATCGTCTCCTAACGAGGATTCAGCTGTGGGATCGTCTCCTAACGAGGATTCAGCTGCGGGATCGTCTCCTAACGAGCATTCAGCGGCGGGATCGTCTCCTAACGAGGATTCAGCTGCAGGATCGTCTCCTAACGAGGATTCAGCTGCGGGATCGTCTCCTAACGAGGATTCAGCTGCAGGATCATCTCCTAACGAGGATTCAGCTGCAGGATCGTCTCCTAATCAGCATTCAGCGGCGGGATCGTCTCCTAACGAGGATTCAGCTGTGGGATCGTCTCCTAACGAGGATTCAGCTGCAGGATTGAAGTGCCACCAGTGCAGAGCTTGCTCAGGAATGGCAGCAGGCAGGTGTGAGCACATCTGCAGCACAGTGAGACGAAGACTTTTGGAAGATGGCCTGGTGTCAAGAAGGACAGCAAAGAAGCCATTCCTCCAGAAAACCATCAGGGACAGATTGATCTGCAAAAAGCATGGCGAATGGACTGCTGAGGACTGGGGCAAAGTCGTGTTTTCCGATGAAGACCTTTCTGATTGTTTAGGGCTTCTGGAAAAAGGCTTGTCCAGAGAAGAAAAGGTGAGTGCTACCATCCGTCCTGGGTCATGCCAACAGTAAAGCATTCTGAGACCATTCCTGTGTGGGGTTAGGGTTAGGGTTCTCATCCAAGGGAGTGGGTTCACTCAAAATTTAGCCCAAAAACACAGCCATGAATAAAGAATGGTACCAACACACCCTCCGACAGCAACGTCTTCCAACAATCCCACAACAGTTTGATGAAGAACAATGCATTTTTCAGCACGATGGAGCACCGTGCCACAAGGCAGGCGTGATTGTTGCTACCCCTTGGCATCCAAGAGAAATAAGGAGGAGAGCTTCGACGGGTGCAACTTTTTATTTGTGTCATTCCCAGAATCGCGCCGAGCACCTAGTGCCAAAAACTGTGCAAACACTGTGAACACGTGCTCCTCTTGCCATGGGGTGCAATCAAAGTAATGTCACACAGAGGCTTGGCACGGCAAGACCATAGAGTGGAAGTTTGGTCTGCTGCAACACGCCAAGCCAGGTGGAATGCCAACGCCACGTCCACATCCGGGTTAACGCCCACTTATATACAATTGTGTGAGTGACGTTGACAATCCACCTGCTGGCAGCCATTTACAGTGATAACTCAGTGGCTTGGGGACCAAACATTGAAATTTTGGGTCCGTGGCCTGGAAACTCCCCAAATCTTAATCCCATTGAGAACTTGTGGTCAATCCTCAAGAGGTGGGAGGACAAACAAAAACCCACTAATTCTGACAAACTCCAAGACGTGATTACAAGAGAATGGGCTGCTTTCATCATGTTAGTTGTTAATCAGTCAGACTCGGATATGCAGTTCATATACAAAGGAAATATTTGTTATAACGACAACTAAGGAAGCGCTACCAACGTGGGGCGTGGTGCGGGGATCACTGGCTCGAATTGTTGTTTCTGGAAGATGGACAACAGTTACAGTCCGGAAGAGTTGAGGGAAGCCTTTAAGCACTGAGGCTTACCGTGAGATCGAAGGGACTGGCGGCTGAAGAGGGGGGTAGGGGGTCTGAAGCGGTGGCCCAATGGGTGATGGGGCTCGAGAGGCGAACGTAGATCCAGGGGGGTGAGCGGTGGGAGAGGGGGATGGATGGAGGACTGGCAGACGTGGGTTTGAAGGTTAAATCTGGAGGGTGTTATTGAAGAGGTCGGTTGATGGTTCTGAGATGGTCGAAGGTACCTGGAGGTGAGAAAGAATAATTAGGGCTCGAAAGACTGTTTTGTAGGACTCGAAAAATAGCGCTAGCGATTCCTCCCAAGGTTGTACCCAAAGTGAGAAATCATCCGGCATTGTGTAGTGTCTGCCAGGTCCTTACACAGTCCAATCCGCTAGATTTGGCTGACTCGCAGCAGCTGGATCCACTCTGCCGCCAGGGGCGGGGTTAGGTCCGGCTACTTGGGCTGAAGCCCCGGATGTTTTATGAAAAGCCCCGGATCTAAAAGGTGGAAGTAACATGCAGTACCAAAGTCCAACAGAGAGGGAGCGGCTGGCAGTAGTTTGTATACAGCCTGCCTGAGCCTCCACTACTGAAGAAGAAGCCCTTCAGCAGCCGGCTTCTTCTACACTCTCTGCCTGAAACGCATGAGTGAAGATGGACATAAGGACGTTTTTAGACCAAAAGTACGGCGACAGAACCCCAGCTCTGATGAGACTGGTGCTGACTCAGGTTTGTGAGTCTTATTTGAAAATATTTGTTGTGCTGCTGGTTTGCCTAAAGTTAGCTTACCATCAGGTAACGTTGTTGGAGAAAGAGCGGGAATATTTA